GCCTGAAACTTTGTACCCAAGATTTATTATAGTGGATTATTTGGTTGGTGGTGGCCCCGTGGTTTTTTCCCCGATTTGGGGTTTTCCACGTAAATCGTGTGTTCTTGTGTTTGATATTTATTTTTGGGCTATTGTGTATCATCTTGTGTTTGTGCTCCTGTCGGTTCTGTGATTTTTATTGTCGCAGGAAGTGGGATTTTCCCAACAAAGTGGTATCAGAGCCCTGGTTGTTGATTGGGTACATTTGACATGGAGACAAATATGAGTAATATGATACGATTGAATGGTAGAAATTATCACATTTGGAAGGCCAAGATGAAGGATCTCCTATTTGTGAAGAAATTACATCTACCTGTGTTTGCAACTGCAAAGCCAGAAAGCATGTCAGACGAAGAGTGGGACTTTGAGCACCAACAAGTTTGTGGTTATATTCGCCAATGGGTTGAAGATAATGTTATGAATCACATTATCAACGAGACACATGCTAGAAGCCTGTGGGATAAACTTGAGACCCTGTATGCTTCCAAGACAGGCAATAACAAATTGTTTTTGCTAAAACAATTGATGAATCTAAGATTCAGGGAAGGTACATTGATCAATGATCATGTCAATGATTTTCAGGGTGTTCTTGATCAGTTGTCTAGCATGCGCATCAAATTTGAGGATGAGGTACTTGGTCTCTGGTTGCTTAACACTCTACCTGATTCTTGGGAAACACTCTACCTGATTCTTGGGAAACACTTCGGGTTTCTTTGACCAATTCTGCTCCCAAGGGTGTTGTGACCATGGAGTATGTCAAGAGTGGTATCTTGAATGAAGAGTCAAGAAGAAGATCTCAAGACACCTCCACTTCTCAGTCAGATATTTTGGTTACAAATGATAGGGGGAGAAACAAACAAAGGGGTCAGAAGGGTAGAGATAAAAGCAGAAGTAAGTCAAGGTCATGGCACAAGGATGTTGAATGTTATCATTGTGGCAAGAAGGGTCACATTAAGAAAAATTGCTTCAAGTTCAAAAGGGAACAGAAGCAAGACAAGAAAGATGATCACACAGAGAACCAGGTTGCAACAGTTAGAGCAGATTTGCTTCTTGCTTGTGATGAGAACGCCGTCAACGTTGCATGCCATGAGACAACTTGGATTGTAGATTCAGGCGCATCTTACCATGTTACACCAAGGAAGGAATTCTTTACTTCATATACTCCAGGTGATTTTGGAGAGCTAAGAATGGGTGATGATGGTCAGGTGAAGGTGATTGGTACGGGTACAGTTTGTCTTGAGACCAGCAATGGAACAATGCTGGAACTTAAAAATGTAAAGCATGCACCGGGTATCAGACTGAATCTCATTTCTACAGGAAAACTCGATGATGATGGTTTCTGTTGTTTCTTTGGTGATGGACATTGGAAAATCACTAAAGGCTCGTTGGTTATTGCACGAGGTAACAAGTCTTCTAACTTGTACTCTTTACAAAGCTCTATTTCTGGTGATTCAGTGAATGTGGCAGCAAAAGAATGTGCATCAGAATTGTGGCATAAACGACTTGGCCACATGAGTATGAAGGGGATTGATTACCTTGCCAAGAAGAAGAAGCTTTCAGGAGTAAAGGAAGCTAGATTGGACAGATGTGTTCATTGCCTGGCAGGGAAACAGAAAAGAGTTTCTTTTATGAGCAACTCTCCTTCGAAGAAGCCGGAGCCACTTGAGTTGATACATTCTGATGTGTGTGGACCAATGAAGGTTAGATCACTTGGAGGTGCATCTTACTTTGTGACCTTCATTGATGATTATTCTAGGAAACTCTGGGTTTACACTTTGAAGCACAAAAGTGATGTGTTTGGTGTGTTTAAAGAGTTTCATGCCCTTGTTGAGAGACAGACAGGGAAGAAATTGAAGTGCATCCGTACTGATAATGGCGGTGAGTACCGTGGCCCATTTGATGAGTATTGCAGAATGCACGGTATTAGACATCAGAAAACTCCTCCTAAAACTCCTCAATTAAATGGCTTAGCAGAGAGGATGAATCGGACAATTATGGAGAGAGTCAGATGTATGCTTGATGACGCAAAGTTGCCTAGTTCTTTTTGGGCAGAGGCAGTTTCCACAGCTGTTCATGTTATCAACTTATCTCCTGTTATTGCTTTGAATAATGAAGTTCCTGATAAGGTTTGGTGTGGAAAGGAAGTCTCTTATGATCACCTCAGAGTCTTCGGTTGTAAGGCATTTGTGCATGTCCCGAGAGATGAAAGATCTAAGTTGGACTCGAAGACTAGACAGTGCATTTTCATTGGTTATGGTCTTAATGAATTTGGCTACAAGCTGTATGATCCAGTTGAGAAGAAGCTTGTGAGAAGCCATGATGTAGTGTTCTTTGAAGATCAAACCATTGAAGGTGTTGACAAAGTGAGAAAGCCAGAATCTCAAGATAGCGGAAGATTGGTTGACTGTGAGCCAGTTTCCAGCGAAGATACACATGATGTTGATGAGGTTCAAGAGAATGGCCAGAACGGTGATCTTGTACCAGACAATCAGGATGATACAACTGATGTGGATGGTCATGTTGATGATGTTGTGCACCAGGAACAAGAAGTTCCTTCGCAGGTTCCAGTTGATCCTCCTAGAAGGTCTAACAGGGAACGGAGACCACCTACTCGTTACTCTTCCAGTCAGTATGTGTTATTAACTGATGGGGGAGAACCTGAGTTCTATGAAGAAGCTATGGAGAGTGAGCAAAAGAGACAATGGCTTGAGGCTATGCAGGATGAGATGAATTCCCTATATGCAAATGATACCTTTGAGTTGGTAAGGGCACCAAAGAATAGGAAAGCTTTGAAGAACAGGTGGGTCTACAGATTGAAACATGAAGAGGGCACATCAGTTCCACGATTCAAAGCTCGACTGGTGGTGAAAGGTTTTAGCCAGAAGAAAGGTATTGATTTTGATGAAATTTTCTCTCCTGTTGTGAAATTTTCATCTATTAGAGTTGTGTTGGGTCTAGCAGCTCGTTTGGATTTAGAAATTGAGCAGATGGATGTAAAGACAGCTTTTCTCCATGGTGATTTGGATGAGGAGATATATATGGAGCAACCTGAGGGATTCGAAGTCAAAGGGAAAGAGGATTATGTTTGCAGGTTAAAGAAGAGTTTGTATGGATTGAAGCAAGCTCCGAGGCAGTGGTATAAAAAGTTTACTTCCGTTATGAGTAAGCACGGGTACAAGAAGACTTCTTCAGACCACTGTGCTTTTGTAAACAGATTCTCTGATGATGACTTTGTTATATTGTTGCTTTATGTTGATGATATGTTGATTGTTGGTCGCAATGTTTCAAGAATTCAACAGTTGAAACAGGAGTTGAGTAAGTCATTCTCTGTGAAGGACATGGGACCAGCAAAGCAAATTCTTGGGATGAAGATCATTCGTGACAGACAGAACAAGAAGTTGTGGTTATCTCAAGAGAAGTATATAGAGAAAGTACTTGAGAGATTTAGTATGGATAGAGCTAAGCCAGTGAATACACCTCTTGGTATGCATTTCAAGTTAAGTAAGAAGCAATGTGCCTCTAGTGAGAAAGAGAATGAAGAAATGCAAAGAGTTCCCTATTCTTCAGCTGTTGGTAGTTTGATGTATGCCATGGTATGTACGAGACCAGATATTGCTCATGCAGTTGGTGTTGTTAGCAGATTTCTCTCAAATCCAGGGAGAGAACATTGGGATGCTGTGAAGTGGGTTCTGAGATATCTTCGGGGTACTTCAAGTCTGAGTTTGTGTTTTGGTACAGAGAAACCTATTCTTGTCGGGTACACTGATTCAGATATGGCCGGGGGCATTGACACCAGGAAATCTACTTCAGGTTATCTAATTACCTATGCAGGGGGAGCAGTTTCATGGCAATCAAGATTGCAAAAGTGTGTTGCTTTGTCTACCACTGAAGCTGAGTTCATAGCATCTGTTGAGGCCAGTAAAGAAATGCTATGGATGAAGAAGTTTGTTCAGGAGCTCGGGTTTGTTCAAGACAGGTATGTGCTCTATTGTGATAGTCAAAGTGCAGTTCATCTTGCAAAGAACTCTACGTTCCATTACAGGTCAAAACATATTGACACGAGATATCATTGGATTAGAGATATCTTGGAGTGCAAGATGCTTGAACTTGAAAAGATTCATACTGATGATAATGGGTCTGACATGATGACTAAAGCATTGCCGAGATGGAAGTTTGAGGATTGTTGCTCTATCGCCGGGATGGCGATATCTTCCACATAGTCGGGAGGGGGAGATTTGTTGGGTTGGGCTTCCCTCCTATGTGGTAAATAGCTCATGTTTGGACCAAGCCAATTTGTATCCACTATATTTTGTTGGACTTCCTCTCATATTGAGCCCTAATTATTATTATTATATTTATATAATATAATAATATTTAATTAGGAATATTGGATGAATTAGGAATATATGAGGCAGAAAACCTTCATTTCCTAAGTTGTAAAAAGGAATTAAAATTCCTTTCTACTTTGTTCTCCCATATATATATTTATATATATTGCCTTTGGGATTATGGATGGGATTTTTTACACGGCAGCAAGTTGGCTGCGAAGAGAAGAAGCAGTGGGCGAAACAATTGTTTTATTCTCAGGCTTTTCTTCCGCAGTGCGCAGGTACAATTTGGTACAGTTTGTCGTGAGTTCACCAAATTCTTGGGTGGTTTATTCATCAAATATTTTGGAGGTCAGCTTATTTGTTCCAGGCATCTTTTGGGTATTCTCGTATTATTTGTATTCTTTTCATCTTACTTGTGGTGGTTGAATATTTTAAGTACGAGTTGGTATTCTGTTTAGGCTTGTGGAATATAATAGAAGTCTTTGGCCTAGAATTATTACATTTGATGATTTGTGGATGTTTGGCTCGTGTGGTAGCCTGAAACTTTGTACCCAAGATTTATTATAGTGGATTATTTGGTTGGTGGTGGTCCCGTGGTTTTTTCCCCGATTTGGGGTTTTCCACGTAAATCGTGTGTTCTTGTGTTTGATATTTATTTTTGGGCTATTGTGTATCATCTTGTGTTTGTGCTCCTGTCGGTTCTGTGATTTTTATTGTCGCAGGAAGTGGGATTTTCCCAACACATACCCGCACGAAGCACATTGAGATTGACTATCATTTTGTTCGCGATAAAGTAGCCAAAAAGGAGTTAGAAGTGCACTTTATTTCGACCAAGGATCAACTAGCGTATATTTTCACAAAGTCTCTGTCGTCTCTTCGTTTTAACACTCTCCGTGACAAGCTCAATGTTTTGGCTAGCCAACCTTGTGCTTGAGGGGGAGTATTAGGACTATTATTCATATTAGACTAGGACTATATTATTCATATTAGACTAGGACTATATTATTCGTGTTAGACTAGGATTCTATCTTGCATCTCTATATATTCGCTCCCTGTATTCTCCGACATTATTATTGAATACAACACAATTATATTCTCATCGTTAGCATATTTATGATCACCCAATGATTGGAGCCACATTAGGAGCGGAAATATGAGAGGAGAAATTTAAGAAGAGTAATAAGTATTTTCCTTAGAAAAATAATCTATTTATTAATTAAATATAAACTGATCAATAAAACATTATGACTTAAAAGATGTGAAATTAAGAGTCTGTTTGAAAACTTAAAAAATAATTTTCAGAAAATGACTCATTATTTTCTAGAAAATAATTTAATTTTTAAATGTTTGGCTGAAAGTTAAGAAATTATACTTTTCTATTTGGTTCATTTTCTTGAAAATGACCATATTATTTTTATATAATAATAATAATAATAATAATAATAATAATAATAATAATAATAATAATAATAATAATCTAATCTAATCTAATCTAATCTAATCTAAAAATATAATAAGTCTCAATCAAAGTTATATCCCTAGTTTATGCCCATGTTTGTAGTGCTAACCATTTTGTACATTGTGCTTTTAGAGTTGTACTATATAATTTTGTGGACAAAAATACCTTTACCGTTATCTTTTCCATTACTTTTACCATGCACATGCATCCACCATATTTTTTTTTTAATGATAATAATGAGTTAATTCCAGCAATGGTCCTCCGACTATTATGATTTTCAAAAATTGGTCCTTGTATTTTAATTTGGACAAAATAGACCCTTGACTATCAGATTTGATCCAGCATTGGTCATTCCGTTAACTATCTGTTTGTTAGACGCTAGGGAAGGGCTAAAATGGTCATTTCTTGTGATTGTTTTCTTCTTCACTTGTGCATGCAAGGCTTCTTTCCAGCCGTTATTGGAACAAGAGTGTGGCACTAACTGAAGATCTGGCAGGGCAGTGGAAGTAGCGTTTTGTTCTTCTGAGATGTTAGTAGTAGCGCCGAGAAAAGCTTCAGGGTAGGGGACACCGAGGGCGAGGGATTCCTGATCGGCGGCCGCGGCCTCGTAGTTTAGTTGAGCATGGGATGAAGTAAAGCATTGATAGCAGGGCCGTCCCTGGGCATGACTGCCCAGGGCACTTGCACAGGGGCCCCCAAATTTTGGGGGCCCCAATTAGAGAACATGTATATACATATACTATACAGCAGGCAGCGCACTGCCTGCTGTATAGTATGTGTATATATTAATTTTATTATTTTTTTAAACAATTGGCCCCCAAATTTGGGGGCCAATTGTTAAAAAAAAATTAAAAAAGAATTATATTTTTTTGAATGCTACTAGCTCTATTACATTGTAGTATCTGTTCATATACTTTCTCAAGCTACTGAAACACAAAGAGCTAATAACGCCTCCACTGAGGCTTGAACTCACAACCTTCCTAATGGAAGTCCAACCCGGGTACCATTGAACCACATAGTCCTGGTAAAAAAGAATTATATACTTATATACATATATAATATATTATATGAGTTATATATATTGGTCATGTTTCGTAAGATAGTTAGCTTATCTATTAATTTTAATTTATTTGATTATTTTTTAACTATTTAACATGGTTAAAAAACTAATATAAGTGTTTGGTTAATCAGTTTTTTGTAACTTCAAAAGCTAAGATTTAAAAAGATGCTCAAAGCAATTTTTTTCAATTAGCTTTTTGAGAAAATAAATTATACCAAACAGCTAATAGCTAATTTATCAAATATTTTTCTACATTCAAATGTTATCAATTAGTCATACCTTTTAACCCAATTAGCTATCAACTAACATCCATTTACCAAATAGGGCCATAATTTTTTTTACAATTGGGCCCCAAATTTGGGGGCATAATTGTAAAAAAATAATAAAAAAATTATATACTTATATACATATATTATATGAGGAGTGTCAACCCGGTTACCATTCCAAATGGATGTTCATAGGTTTGAACCCCGGTGGTGGGGACTTAGATTCTTTGATTTTCTAGAAGTGGTCTGAGTGGAGGGCGTCGGCCCGTAGTATACTGTATTCAAGTTCTGAATTTCGAAGACTGAAGTTCTTCATTAAGTAGTTTAATCAGGGTTTGGAGGAGTGGTTCAAGGTGTACAAAAAAAGATTCTTCGATGTAAATTGTAGAGCATTTTATACTTGTAGTGGTAATCACAGTCTTAACTTGACTTTGTGTGCATGATATTGCAAATAGTTGTGGCAGAACAAGGGATTCCTTTAGAGTAGTGCAACGTATTTATACAATTTAACAACTATGGAGTGTTATTTATATATATGAAATGCTTGAAAAGGGCCCAAATTACGATGTCGTACAGGACCTCCATTTTTTTGGAACGGCCGTGATTGATAGCTAAGGCTGCTTGTCAGATACTGGTCATTCCAGAATCTTGTAATTAAAAACAACTCCAAGAACCTTGGAACTACCATTATAAGTAATGGAAGCATTGTTATCCTTTCCGTGAGTAACGTTGTTCAACCATGCTGTGATATTAACCCATTCCAGCGTAGAATTAACGTTGATACATACATTTGTTATCGAACAACACAGCCACAAAAGGATCTGGGCGTGTTACTGAACTGGGAGCCATGAGCCAAGGCCACCTCCACCAGTGGCAATTATATTGAATGGATGGGTTGAAAAATTCGCCAGGAAAAAGGCCAACCCATCAGCAAAGCTACTGTTACCATTTGAGTCGATGTTGAAAGCCATTCTCCGCAGCACCCTGGCACGCGACGTGGCGGCGGTAATGGAGTACAAAGCAATCATTATTGTATGGATGTGCTAAATTTAATTTGTAGTTTATATTCCAAAAAAAAAAAAAAAAAAAAAAAAAAGTGGATGGTGAAATCAGCCAATTCTCCAGTGGCCTTGTCCCATTGGTGAAAGGATTTAACATACTTTGCTTGGCCGACTTTGCCATTCAAGACCTTGTTGCGTTCATATGAGGTGACTTGGATCCCCTGCTCTGAGATATATGCATCTCCTTCCACGTTGATGTTCACGTTTGTATCCTTAGCAGTGATGTTTTGCAGATCAAATGAGAGTGAAGACGCTAAAGACGCCGCAAGCAGAAAGAGTGAAAAGGCTGCAGAGATATTCAAGAATTGAATCTACACAAGGTAGCTGCTGCCATGGCTTACAGATAGTTTGCTCATGATCAGGTGTAAGCTAAGCTGTGCTGATTCTCATAAATAATTGCTCTCAGCAACAATCTAACACTAGATTTAGATAGTTACAACTTACAAGACTTTGCCAGTCCACGCTCAACATTGAATATTTGTAACGGCTATATGAGCTGAGGCCTGAGGGAAAAAGGGAAATCAGTGGCTGAGAAAAGGAAGGAAGAAGCCATCCTAAAACGGTGTCGTAAGAAGTAGCCGTTATTTCGTTAATAAATGAAGGCCCAAAACGACACCGTTGCAGTGGCGGTTGGAAAGCAGTTGAGCGCTGATCTGACGACGTCGTTTAGCCTCCCCCTTTTATTTTCCTTTACAGCTTGTTTTGTTAGCAGTTAGTTATGCTGAAAAGTGGGGAACTGTTAGTAGTAGCTTGTATTTAGCTTGCCTGTAGATGATGGGTTTTCTTCATGCTATGAATTGAGATTTTCAGCTTCTTCTATCTCTTTCTCCTCTAACCCTAAATTCTTCCCCAATTCTTCCCAATTTCTGGTTTTCCTATTAAGTTCCATCACAAGTGGTATCAGAGCCCATATGTAGGATCGTTTGAGAAAGCTAGAGGCCACTGTAACAGAGCTGAACAGCAAGATCGATGACTCAGTCAATGAGATTTCCACTCAGTTTGGAAATCTCAAAGAAGAGCTACTGGAGCTTTTCAGGCTCAATAGGCCAGTGGTGCCTATCTTGGAGAACTCTCCGGGGTAGTCGTCTGTACATGGTCAGATTCTAGAAAGACCTGCCATGGATCCGGGAAGGAGAGCAGACAAAGCTCATGTCCAGGAGGAGGAAGAAAACATGGTTAATCATGGCATTGAGACCCCAGGAGGGATGAATACTGTGGAGAGACCTCAAGATGAATGGATGCGCAGAAGAAGAGGTATGGATGCCATTAGAGGATGTGGTCAAAACTTGGAATTCCTCAAGTACAAAAGCGAATTTCCTGTGTTTGATTATGGTAATCCTAGACATTGGGTTCTCATATGTGAATTTTTTTTTTTTTTGTGCTTTCCCACATACCTAGACATGATATTATGAATATACTATTTGTGCACCTCACTGGAAGAGTAGGTTTGTGGTATGAAGGGTATATGAACAGCCTAACGGAAGAGTTTCACTGGGCTGCTTTTGTTGAGGCTGTGTGCCGGAGGTTTGGAGATAGTGGAGCCTCTTTAATGGAGGACTTTGCTTCTTGCAAACAATGGGGAAATATAAGTGAGTTCACTGATGAATTTGAGGGTTACAAGAGCATGTTGTTGAGGGCTTACCCCTATCTGACTGATCAGTATTTTCTGGAAAATTATGTTGCTAGACTAAAGGCCAATCTGAGATGTTTTGTCAGGACTTCTAGACCTGGAAACCTAGAGGAGGTTATATGATTTGCTAGGGAGTATGAGAAAGGCTTGAAGATGCCTGAGAGC